TAGAAGACAGAATCGCGATTCATATATGAATAGATTTTTACGTGCACCTCTAGTTTTCTCTTCCTCTTCTCTAAAGCAGCACAGGCCTCGCCCCCTTTGCTGCCTTTTCCCGAGGGTGGGGTTTATCTAGGTTTGTGATGTCACAAACGCAGGAAGTAACTTCTTGTAGTCCCTACCAGCCGTTTTTGTAGGCATTAAACTGCCAGAATTTTAAAAGACGATATCTCCGTTTGCATTGATCTTTCAGCTTCGTAACTTTGCAGATATTGTTTATGCTCAAACAGCAACATTACACACTAACTAACGTTAAAAAAGTGAAATCGTAATGAACCATCCCAACTAAAACTAGGGAATAGAATAATAAAATGAGGGAGCGAATAGTTAACTTGTGGCCTTAAATTGTTAATTCATGGCCACAATAAATATATTTTTGTCCACCTCATGTGCAGTGATGTGCATCTGAACGAAGGCTTAAAATCCCTCACCGCTAGCTGCATTGTGCGTGCTTACTAGTTCAAGTGCACTCTTCTCCGTTTTCCTTGATAACAGAACTCTGTGTCTGAATTGAATGCAGTATTGCGTGTTGGCTATGATAAATAGCTCTGATAAACACCTCAAGCAAAATACACAGTTACTTTAGTACAAGCTTTCAGTAAAATCCCAAAGCGCAAATTCGGCATGTTAACTTTCATGTGAATGTCTTATCATATGAAAGAGAAGTTTATATTTAAGATTTTGCTGTAAACATCATGTAATCGTCTGTTTATTCTCATGAAGACCTTCTGTGTCTAGGCAGGCCAGCATTAGAGAAATAAACACAAGGAGCATGACTTCAGGCTTCAGTAGCTCCATTTTTCATATATTAATACACAAATTTGGGATTTGTATAAAAAAATATGTTTATGATAACTTAAAAAGCTGTGAGACTGTTTTAATATATGTATGCATGCAAAGTTATACATTAAATGCATTAAAGCTGTTGTTTTTTAATGTCATGATTCACATTTTTGTTTGCCCTGTGCCTTACAATTAAATATCCATTAATGTGTCTAAACTTAGTTAACAAGGTATATATATTATTTATTTATTTGCTTCTATAATCCTGTGATAGGGCTGGGGTTTGAAGTTTACTTGTATATCTTTAAATATTTTGGTTTATATTTATAATTTTTGTCTAAGTTTAAGTGAGTATTGTCAGGGTTGGGTGAAGGGATGAGGCGAGGACTCAATTACAGGAAGTTTGGGCTCTTTATTACCAAAAATAAACCAAATACAGACAACAAAAACTACCCCGTGTGGGGAAAAAACACTACCGGCAACTTGACTGGATGGGCAGGACAAGGTAGGACAGGAACAGACCAGGTACACAATGGCAAACATTATACAACAAACTGGCACAGGACTGCAAACTGCAAACACAAGGAGAATAAATAGGGAACAAACAAGGCAGGTAATGAGGGAGGACAGGTGGGGCAAAAGAACCAATAATCAGGTAACAAAGTGTGCGGGGTTGGAAAATAGACAGGAGAGCACATGGTACACAGAAACAAACAAAACAAAAGCACTCACACAAAACAAGACATGAACATGCAGCTAAGCGTGACAACATGAAAGCACACGACCGAGGAAAACCCAAGCCGTTTGCTACACAACACAAGACAGAACATAACATGAAAGCACACGGCTGATGTAAACACGAACCGCATACTAAACAGAACACAATGACACTAGTACCTGGCCAATGAAAACATAAACTAAGCCCTCACAAAACACACAAGACAAGAGCGCATTGCCGGTGAATGAACACACAACCCGTGCTCTCACACGAGAAACAAGACATGGAGCGTGAGTGCTCGAACCCCAACACCAGACCAAAACCGAACTAGACATGAGAGCTGGAATCCAAACACCACGCTCCGAACATGAAACAAGGCATGCAGACAAGAGAGCCCACACTCACACAAGGACAATACAGGAGTGTTGGGGCTCTGTCCAGAACCAAGAATAAACTAGACCGAAGTGACAGAACCCTGACAAGTATAGCAGACTACATTGTTGGTCATTTCTGCACACAGAGTTGCTCTAATCTTACTGCATGTCTGGAACTGAATTTGCACTTTATTGGAAAGGAGATGCTTCAGATGGTCACACTAGGTCAGGCTGGACCAAACGGCAATGTTTTTATGCAGTGGAAGGACTAAAGTGCTGCCTGACATCAAATTTTCAGAGGCCTTTTAATGTTGGAGGATCATGTGGGAGAACAGAGCGTTCTCTCCGCAAAGTGATTCTGATGTCCAACCGCTTTCGCACCTTTTTTCTGTCAGCTTGGCTCAGCTCACCTGCTTCAAATTTAGAACAAACTTTTGCAGAATGTTATTTTGTGCAATTAGGACTGTAAAGAGTGTGTTCAGTGAACTGAAAAATTTGAATAGCGCTCAGTTTCCGAATGTAGCGTCCAATTAACATTGCTGTGTGCCAAATAATATTAAATAACTCAATGGTCTATTTAAGCATCTTTGTGGTAAATGACAATGAAAGAACGATTTAACCAGGCACATTAAATGTCGAATTGATTTTCTCTTTGTGTGCTGCATGTTGGTGTGTAGACAATTGTTTAATTATGGGTTTATAAAAAGCAAATCTGTGTATTAAAGAAAATCAACAGATTTTCAGATGCATGCATATATGTATTATGTATTATGTATGCATGTAGGTATGTGTGTGCATATATATATACAGTGTAATGCTGGAAATCTAATGTTTTATACACAGTATATTATTTACAACAGCCATAATTGTACATAATGTAACAGATATGTAAGAGGTAAAACATATATTATATTATATTATATTATATTATATTATATTATATTATATTATATTATATTATATTATATTATATTATATTATATTATATTATATTATATTATATTATATTATATTATATTATATTATATTACATTACATTACATTACATTTTTCTCTTTTCCAGGGCATCAGCAGCTTGTTCAGTTCTCTGAAGGTAGTTCGACTGCTTCGATTGGGTCGTGTTGCACGTAAACTTGACCACTATTTGGAGTACGGCGCAGCTGTGCTCATGTTACTGGTCTGTGTGTTTGGATTGGTGGCTCACTGGCTTGCCTGCATATGGTACAGCATTGGAGATTACGAGGTCATTGATGAACAAACCAACAGCGTCAAGACTGACAGCTGGCTCTACCAGTTAGCCACCAGCATTGGATCCCCGTACCGGTACAATGCCAGTGGGACTGGCCAATGGGAGGGCGGCCCTGGGAAAGACTCTCTGTATATAACATCACTATATTTCACCATGACCAGCCTGACCACCATTGGCTTTGGAAACATCGCGCCAACTACAGACGGAGAGAAGATCTTCTCTGTGGCCATGATGATGGTTGGATGTGAGTGCTTGTCTTCTTTCATGTCTTATTTTTCTGAACTGTCTTGGTTAAGTCGGGTGATCTGATCAGGTGAGATAGACTGTCATTTTCATCTGAGAAATCAGATCACCCAAAGTAAATCTTAATACCAGGTTAAACGGGGTCTCTTTTCTGTTCCTTTCTTGCTTCTTTACTCTTTTTTCTGTTTATTCTCTGCTCTGTCAGAATAACTCAGACTAATCTCATCTGGCCCCTCTGTCCTCCAGACAGCAGTGCTTTGCTTCTAGCGCACCTCCTTCAGAAATAACTCTGAGACAGTAATAGAGAGAGATCGTTGGAGAGAGGGACATATAACTGGCCAGAATGAAGGAACGAGGCCAATCGTTGTTAATGTCCTTCTCCAGCAGTGTGCATGTGGTGAGGAGTCACTCTGGAGACTAAACAGAGATACGGTCATAATTACTAGCATGTCTGAATGCTAACCCGCACAAACACACATATAGAAACCCCACTCACTGACCCGCACAGACTCTCAGGGGCTTCAACCATGTTTTGAGGATACTTTAAGTTTACAGTATTAATTGCGTGTGCAAAAAAACCCAGGTTCAAATGCCAAATGTATACAGTAGTCAACATTTGAAGTGGATCAAAAAAAGTTAATCAATGTTGTCCTAAGACAAGAATTGGTATTGTTTTGGTTTTAGGACAACTTTGATGAAAGGTTTTGATCCACTTCAAATGTTGATTACTATATAAATATAGTTGACATTGAACCCATATATATATGCATTCCCTAGAACTCTTGATGTTGCTAGCATCATGCTCTACTATTTGAGTTACAGAAAAAAAATGTATAGTGTATATATATATACACTGAACAAAATTATAAACGCAACACTTTTGTTTTTGCCCCCATTTTTCATGAGCTGAACTCAAAGATCTAAGACTTTTTCTATGTACACAAAAGGCCTATTTCTCTCAAATATTGTTCACAAATCTGTCTAAATCTGTGTTAGTGAGCACTTCTCCTTTGCCGAGATAATCCATCCACCTCACAGGTGTGGCATATCAAGATGCTGATTAGACAGCATGATTATTGCACAGGTGTGCCTTAGGCTGGCCACAATAAAAGGCCACTCTAAAGGCCATTCTATTTCTTTTGATTAATTTATTTTTTAATTATATAGTTGTATTTTACTCTCATATGCCAGATAAATCGGTGACTCTAGATCACTCATGACATTAGATTTTAAAGGGGTCATATGATGTTGCTAAAAAGAACATTATTTTGTGTATTTGGTGTAATGAAATGTGTTTATGCGGTTTAAGGTTAAAAAAACACATTATTTTCCACATACTGTACATTATTGTTTCTCCTCTATGCCCCGCCTTTCTGAAACGTGTCGATTTTTACAAAGCTCATCGGTCTGAAAAGCGATATGTGCTCTGATTGGCCAGCAATCCAGTGCGTTGTGATTGGCCACAGATCATTTTTGTTTTTCAAACACTGATTCAGTTATGACTAAAAGAGTGATTTGTTTACTTTGTAAATTGTGAAAATGTGTTGATACTTTCAGTCTGATTTAAAACACATCATACGTGGACATTTATTCAGTTTACAGCATGAACAGAGCAACAGCATTTACACTGTTCAGTGAAATCAGATCTTATAGTTTCTGCATATTACGATTAAGAGTATTTGATCAAAAACTAGACACCACTTTTAATTTCTTTTACATTTTTAGTTTTCTTTCTTTCTTTCTTTCTTTCTTAACTGTTTGTTCTCTTTACCTTTCTCTGGCAGTCTTTCTGTGATCAAAATCATTTTTCTTACTGTACAAATTCTTGGTCATTTCGCTGGCTTTTCATCATCCATTTTATCTCATCATATTCCATCCTCTTCTCTTTCTTCTCTGTTCCC